GAAATACTCGAAAATACTCGAATCCAGACCTAGGATATCCTACGTTAGTAAAATAGAAATTGTCTGTAACGAGTGAGCCGTTTGAATTAACAAATACACAGCAACAAATTATGTACACATTACATTTCTGCACATCTCACAGCATTATTCATTTTATTCGTGAACAACTTGATCATATTCCCCAAGCAGACCTAAAAAAACTAACGACGGGTGCGACGAGTGGTCGAATCTTGAAAATATATACTTTTTCCCGTTCTGTTCGAATTTCGAGCCCTCAGAAACATTGTCTCATCGCGTACTCATTTTCGACTCCTTGGTCACATTTTGGCCTCCCGAAACCTATCGAAATTCTGACTACTCGCAGAGAAGAGGCCTATCGGAGAGAGACTTTCGATTGCTCGATATGGTGTCGATCAGCCGAAGCTTATCGGAATATGGAGTGCTCGGTGAGAGCAAACTTATCAATAAAATAGTTTCACTCGTTCATTTTAATTTTGGTTGCTGAAAACTGCTTCGAAATTTAATTTCTGAGTAGTCTTTCATTTTTATTCCAATGTCATCAGAGAATTTTTGTTTGATACATGGCTTTACATAGTTCTATGCTTTTAACAAGATTATTCACAAACTATAACTGGGATTATGAGAGAATATATTCACATTCCTGAATGAAAATATACTCGTAATGAATTTTAGTTCTTGAAGATCTCAGACATTCCAAGCTCTTGATATCATTCCGATTTTCGATGACTCGTTAGCAAAGACCTAATCGATGGGATTCTTTTGAACAATCGTTTTGGTTCACAGTTCTCAAAATTATTCAAATAATCGAAGATTCTAAACTTAAAGCTAGTAGAGAAGTGAGATTTGTCGTTATTCTACGTTGTTTTAATAATTCTGTTATTATTTTTTTATACATTCAAATTAATTATAATATATTGTAGTTTATTTTCAAGTATAGATCTAAGCCTCCTACTTAATGCAACGAAACCTATAACAGATAGAATTATTTTTCTCAATCATCGATAATTGCTATATTTATAAAAAAATTTTGGAAAAAAATTAATATTTAAATAAAAAAAAAGAAATAAATGCATAGTATGAAAATAAATTAAACAAATAAATAAATTTATAAAAAGAAATTTTAAAAAAATGAATATTGCAAAAAAACATTTTTTAAAATTATTATTGGAAAGAAAATTTTAAAAATGTCGAAGTTATATGTATTTGATGACGATATGTAGATTTATCTTAGATTACAACGTCATGTTTAGTTCATCTGATCTGTACAAGTTTCGTAATCGTAACTACATATGTTTGAATCTTCTGTTCTGCAAAAATATTCGATAGGTCGAGGAATCTGCGATGGGTGAACAATTTTCAATTTTATCAACCTATCGGAAGCTTCAGATCAACGCATCGAAATACCTATCGAGTGACAGCTTACGTTCTTACTTAGTTACTGTCGCAATTTTTTAATCTACTTGACACGAAAATAGTAAATATGTATTGAGCTCTCCTATTGATTCCATTGTGTTGAGATAGCTATTCTTCTTTGAATTCTTTCAAAACAACCATATAATTATTTACCGAATTAGCAGAATATAACAATACATATGACTCATTTCGACTGTTTTATTACATTGGTACGAAGTCATCTTCTTCGTCTCTTCTGAAAAATCAATATTTAGTTTGATGTAATTCCACATTCTCTGAGAATGACAAAGGATGTGTTAGTTTATGAACGCATTCCTTCTTTTGCCTTTGCTTGAATGAGAACTTCAACACATATCATCTTCTATCATTCTAAATGATTTTTAATCGTATTTTCATCGTAAAATGATAAAAGTATTCTTGGGATGTGGGTGTGGGTGTGAGTGTGTGGGTGAGGATGAGGGTGTGGCTGTGGGTGTGAATGAAGAGAAGATCAAGACCCGCACACATACCCACACCCACATCCACACTCTTGATATTGTTTCTAGTAATCATCATTTAGCAATAGAAGGAGAGAAAAGGAGTATTTCAAAAATATATTTTAGAAGAAGAATTTACTCATAAAAAAATCTTTGATAAACGTTATTTAAATAGAAATAAATGTTTAATTGTTGATGAAGCTGATAATATGTGTTTAGATAAAGCTAGACATGTTCTCTATGTTTCTCATGAAATTCAAAGTTTAAAATGGCTTGAAATTTTATTTATCTATATATGGACTGCAGTGATTAGAAAAGAAATAAATAATTCGAATGAGATATCTGAAGATGTTAACGATATTACTCAATTTATGAAAAAGAATATTGAAAATAAAAATATTTTTATTCTGGATTATATGAAAGAGTTTGTGAATTATAAAGTCGAACGTTGGGTGCATAGTGCTTTTCAAGCACGAATTATGCGAGAAGATGATCATTTTGTTTTAGATGTTTCTAAAACAGATGAACAAAATAATAAAAAACAGAAAACTATTATTGTTCTTGATAAAGATACAGGTGTTGAACAATATTCAACACGATGGAGTCATGGTTTAGCACAACTTTTAGAATTAAAATATCGAAGAAAATTATCTGTTGAAAGTTTAAAAGCTGTTTTTATATCGAATAAAGCTTTTTTTCAAAGATATCAACATCGTCTTTATGGACTAACCGGAACAATAGGTTCCGAAAATTCTCAAAGTTTTTTATCTGATTTATATCAAGTTCGATTTGCATATTTATCTACGTCGAAAGAGAAATGTTTTTATCAAATATCTGATCAAATCTCCTTTGACTATGGAGATTGGCTTGATTTAATTGCTAAAGAAAGTATCGAACAAGCCAAAACATGACCTGTATTAATTATCTGTGAAAAATGTTGAAGCAACAGAAAAAATTTGAAATGAACTTATTCAACATAGTGTCACTCCGCATACGATAGAAAAATATCGAAGAGATAGAGATAATGTTGAAGATAGACTCGCGAAAAACCTGCAACCATAGGTGATATTATTATTGTGACAAATAAAGGTGAACAAGGGACTGATATTCATGTCGATGAACAAGTAAATAAACATGAAAGAATGCATGTTATTTTTACTTATTTACCAGAAAATGTTCGAGTAGAAGAACAGGCATTCGGTCGAACAGCTAGAAATGGTGCACAAGAAACTGGACAATATATTTTATTGGTAGATAAGTCTGTTTATGAAGAAATGTATGAATTAAATCAATATACTAATACTCAAAGAAAAATTAAATTAGAAGAATTAGCAGATGTTATTATGGAAAGAGAAAAAATTCTTAGAGATACTGAAGAAGCAGCTAGATTATCAGGATTAAAACAAAGAAATATTCTTCATCTTGAAGTTGAAGAAGAACTTTTTACAAAATTTAATCATTTTAAGAATAAAATATCTGAAGAAATCTTTAAACCATTATTTATTAATAGATCAGAAAAATCTCGAGAGAAATTCGTTGAAGCTTTTGAAAATATTTTAAAAAATCGTTGGACTTTTTGGTTAGATAAAGCTAAAGAGAAAATTGATGCAATTGAAACTTTACAACAAAAATTTTATCTTTTAAACGAATTTAATTCTTCCTTTATCGATGAATTTAGAAATCTCTTAGAAAAATTATCTTTTGATAATTTATTACGTAAATTTATTAATCAACTAGAAGAAGCTATTCATATTGAAAAAGTTTGTCTTTCAGAAAATGAAATTGAATGGGCTAAATTACATTTTAAAAAAGGAATTTTATATGGAGATATATCAAGTTTTTCACACATAGTACTTGCATATTGTATTATTAATTCAAAGGATGAAAAAAATACTAAAAAAGAATCCAGAAGAGAATTAAAGAAAGCCATATATTCTTTAGAAGCCATCAAGAGGAATTTAATGTCTAATCTTAAAATTGCCGAATTTCTTTCTCAAACAGCTACTGCTGATGTTTCAAAAAAAGTTTCTTCAAGAGAAAATTTTTACCAAGATCAGATTAGTGGAAAATTGGAAGTTATTGGATTACATTTACATTATTTGAAAAAAGCTGTAGGAGAAACAATTGAACCTTTTGATTTTATTTTACATCCAAAAGATGAACAAAATCTAACGAAAGAAGATTATGAAAAAGGAGAAAAATTATTTACGCTTTTAGTTCAACATGGAATTATTCAAGGTGATCGAATAAGAAAAATATTTCGAAATAATTCGGAGGAACGAAGGAAAATCCAAAACGATTATTCGAGATGATCTTGATCCTTCGATTGCAGATGAATTAATTAATTTATTAAATAGAAAAGATCAAATTGAAAAAAAAGATTTTGAAGATATTGCTTGGTATAATGAACAATTATGGAAAATATTAAATATAAAAAATTTTGAACATGTTTTTATATTAGATAAACATAGACTAGAAGAGGAATTATCAGAGAAATATGAAAATATTTGGAAAGATTTAGAAAAACAAATATCCCGTTGGCACATAAGTTCTGCACGTTTTTTTTTCTTTTTCAAGAACAATTTATTTTTCAACAAAGATATGAAGCATTAGTCAACAATATAAGTGCCATTGTTTTCAACAACCTTCACCCATCTTGTTAGCAATAGTTCAATTCCACGTTTGTAGAAACTAGCTGGTTGTGATTCGAGAAAGGCAGTTAAATCAGATTTTAGCTCATCGAAGTCTTCATAGTACTTGTTGCGAAGATAGTGTCGAGGAGATGGGAACAGATGATAATCAGATGGCGCAAGATCTGGTGACCACGGCGAGTGCGCAAGAACTTCCCATTCAAACTGTTCAATTGTTTGCTGAGTCAACTTTGCTACATGAGGTGTAGCGTTATCATAGAGAAGGATGACGTTTTTTTGATTCACCAAGTCCGGTCACTTTTCAAATAGAACTTTATGCAATTGCTGCAGCTGTTGAGAGTAGATATCGGTGGTAATCGTTTTTTTAATATCTGATAATTCGAAATAGATGAAACCCTTTATATCCCACTAGATGCTTAACATAATCTTCTTTACATACGGGTCTGGTTTGACATCTGGTAATGGTTCTTGGCCGGGATCAAGCCACTGCCTTCTACGATGAACATTGACATAACACACCCATTTTTCATCTCCAGTAATAATTTGGTCCAAAAATGGCTGATGCTTCTGTCGAAAAAGCAGTGAAGCACAAATAGATGCTCGCTGAGCCAAGTTATCTGCGGATAATTGATGTTGAACAGATCTTCCGCACTTATGGACCTTGCCGACAGCATGAAGATGACGTTCCACTGTCGCGTGGGAACAGTTGAGTTTTTGGCTAATTCACGTGTTATTTGACGTGGATCGGTGTTGCGCAAAGTTTGCAAGGCTTCATCGTCAAATTCCACAGGGCGTACGGAGCGAGGTTTATCCATTAAGGTAGTATCCTCGGAACGGAGCTTAGTAAACCAACAGCGATAAATAGAACTGTCGACTGCTTTCTCACCATATGCAACACTAATATACCTTGTTGCTGCAGCTGCTGTTGAGCCTAGATCGAGCTCGTAGAGCATACAGTGCCGAATAGGAGATTTTTTTTTCATCCATTTAATTTGAAAGAAAGTAACAACAGAAGAGAAGAGAATATATATAACGATAATCTTATCAGGTATTACAAAATACGCAATAGAAACATTATTACGTGATGGATATATTATTACGTAATAATAACAGACAAGATTCAGGTCAATATCAATATTTATTTGACCTTGAGAGAACAGAAACGAATGTACAGTAATGAGATGAAAGAAAGTGCAACAACGAAAGAAATACACATATGACAGAAAAGCAAAAAATATATATATATGTATATGTTTTGTAAGGAAGGATAAATATTTAAGAATATCAAAATAGTCGAGAGACTGTTCTCTTTCAAAAGATATTATCTGAGTCATCATGGAACATGAGAAAAAAACGCAGAGATCTATTGGAACAGTACTTGAAACATGCAGAACTTATAACCCAATCCCATACAAACGTAGAATTAAAGTATCGGTAGCAAGATAAGCACAGGTTGTTGAAAACATGGCGATTATATTGTTGACTAATGCTTCATATCTTTGTTGAAAAATAAATTTATTGTAGAAAAAAAACGTGTAGAACTTATGTGTCAACGGTATAGTTTCTTCAAAAGACAATTGGGATTTGGGATGGTTGCTCGTGGCTGTGGGTCTTGGTATGGATGTATAGGTGTTTTGTGTCCGCACTCATACCCACGCCCACCCATAAAACATTTCGGGTGACGAATGTTATTATTATTGTTGAAGGTAATTCTTCGCGTTTCTATTGCTGATGTTTAATTTTATATGCTGTTGGAATTTTTCTTTACGTGATTTTCGGCAAGGACCTTCGGTGATCCATTGTCCATCATCATCGCGTCAAGATGATGAGAAAAACTAAGGAAAGAGAAAAGAGAGAAAGCATGCACAAGTATGTGTATGTAAATGTATTGGAGGTATAAGAATAAGTTCGGTCACGATTCGTGCGTAAAAAGAAACAATTTGTTGACATTAGTCATCAACGTGTTTGAGTTTATTCGTTCTTTCCGTTCTATTTCATCATCTATGTCAATATATTGCCTTGTAGAGAATGTGTCTAGGAAATCAGTCTAGCAAAAAGAATATGACTCATAGACATGATTGCGTAAGAATTGTGAAAGACTTTTTGTATTTTAAAATATACGTCGTAAGTACGATGCACCACAATATTTGATATATCGGCAGTACGGTTAAATAGCCATTACTTACTATCAATGACTTCATGTTTCTTCAAATCAACACACAAAATAACACAAAATTTGTATCTTGGAGATGCAAAAATCGCTCGAAGTAAATATTTTCTGGAAAATAATAATATTCATGGCATAATTAATGCCACTACTAACGAGCCAAACGCCTATCCTGAATCATATGATTATTTGCGTATAAATATCGACGATGAACCAAGCGAGCACATTCATCCATTTTTTCAAATTGTTTTCGAATTCATACGACGACATCATAACCTTGGCCATAGTGTGTTGATTCATTGTCAAATGGGTATCTCACGAAGTGCAACCCTCGTCATTGCATATTTAATGATTGATGGACATAAGACACTCGGCGAAACTTTTCAACAAGTCAAAAGCGTACGAGAACAAATCGATCCTAATGAGGGTTTTATCAGACAATTACGTGAACTGGAAATATCATTATTTGGTGAGACAATGACTCTGGAACGTATTACTTTTCAAGATCTTAGTATCGATGAATCACCCAAAACTGTTATGGACCGTGTGCTTACGGTTCTTGAAGATTTCGTTGCAGCTTTTGCTGATGATGCATCTCCACAGACGCTCGACATGCTCAAAGATAAACTTCTTAGATTAGCTGACAAAGTCAAACGTAATAATGTCACTGATTTATTGTTCAATGGTATTTGCAGATGTCTACGAATGTTCGGAGAAGATGATTCATTAGATCAAGAAGCAAGAGTTGGTCTACAACAAGGACTTTCTGCTTTGTGCACTTTCTATAACGTTGATATCAATGATTGTCTCAACAATTTGACTAACACTGAAGAATGGAAAAATCTTTGCATTGATGTACCATTAGTTTATCGATGGATCAATCATTTACGAGACCAAAGTTCTTCAATGAACATATCGTAAACAGAATTCAATCGAATGAGCAATTTTGACATAAAAAAAGACATTGATTCGAACGAATAATTACTAAAAATCTTATATTGATAATTAAAATTCGTGAGAGTTACAAGACAAGTTCCTTTTCACAGATATAATTGAAGAACTTTCTATGTGTTTTTATGCAGCATAATTTCAGATGCAACGAGACAAATAAGAAGTAAATCAATTATGGGTGTGAAAGTAGGTGGGATGGATGTGGCTACGGATATCAATTTTTAAAAAGCGATCGATGCCTCGTGTCCACATCAACACCGATGAGCATACTCTCATTTGATTTTCTTCGATTAATAAATCAATCAATTTCAGTTTGAAATTTAGACGAAAAACAAAAACTGATTCACTTTTTATGCAAAATTTCTCACCATATCAAACGATCGAAAAAAAATTTCTAAAAGTCTAACACGTAAGATTGCTATCGTTACAAAGAGTACAAAAAACTGAGTATTACCCTAGAATATGAGCGCGGGGTATAGTGCAGTCCCAAGCAAAATTTTTTCAAACAAAATTTCCTGCAAGGAGAACTTTTTTGTTCTTTCTTTAGGTTCTTCTTTCGTTCAGTCATCCGCGATGACGTATATATATATATATATATACTTACGACAGAACCAAAAGAAAAACTTCATGTACATATATTGAGAAGAGTGTATAACATTCTTTACGATGATAATTCATAATTAAAAGATTTAATTATATAATAAAAATTCTATAAATTCTGAGTATTAAAATTAGTTTTGAAATTTAACAATTTATTAGACGACTAAAATATTTTCTGTCATCTGAAGCGTTCTTTTGCTTAATTCATATTCAAAAATCTTGTTTTTTTATTTCTTTTTCTTGAAAATCGCATAAGTGTATGACACTTAATCCAATAAAGTAGAAAGAGCTTCATTTTTTCAAGCTGAATTAATTCGTTTGCTGTCTACCACATGCATAAAATTTGATGAAAAATGATTATGTTCTCGGTGAATAAAAATAGCATATTCGGATTCAGCGTGGTCTATTACCACCGCTCATGTTGAGATCTTCAAAGGGTAATTCTGATCATAAGCCAAAAATATTTTAATAAAATTCAATGGAAAAACATGTATAGAACAGAAAAAAAATTATTGCTTCGCACTGGATTCGAAGCAGCATCGCGTTATTCAATGCTCTTTAGCCACTCAGCTATATGTGAATTATTCTTATCTGTTCTGTCTCGTACGTCGTTCTTGTTTTCTTAATTAAGTTTAATTCCATTGCAATGGAATTAAACTTAATTAAG